TTAAGGATTAACTAAAATTCAAGAAATTCTAACATTTCGTCATCTAACTCTGAGAAAAGATTGTGCAGCAAATGTTAAAGAATAGTGAGATGAAATTTCAATCTTTAATACTATGATGAATTTATAATAAGAAAAAGAAATTTTTCAATGTTTTCAGAGACGTTTGAATTTTTACAAATTTCGAATAGCAAACGAGAGAAGTATCCTTATTTTCATCTCTGTTATGTGATGTAAAAATATCTTTGAGAAAAACGAAGATAAAGATTATCGAAGTAAAGGCTTTACGCTTTAAAAATAAGATGAAGCAGATTGTTATACGATTTTTCTCTACAAAGTTATAATCATTTAAATCATCAACAATTTCTCATCGTTATTGTTCCAGTTATGTTTTTCGTTATCGAGTTTTGAAATACAGAACATTATAATAATCGATTGATTATAATTATTCAATTAATAAATGGACTGCGGATGTTTGAATCCGCATAGATTGCTACGTTATATTCTCACAAATATAATTAATTAAACTGAATAATTAAAGAAGTATATTCTACCTAAAAACTCGTTTTAATTATTAAATGTTACAACAAGTACTCTAACGAGTACTTGAATATTTCATATATGCATTTTGTAGATCTTTGGAATCCAAATTACCCAAAAAATGGGAAAATAATAAATTTGAGAATGATCTTTTGTAACAAACATTGAAAAACAACAATAGAAATTAATGGAGATTGAGATATATTTCATTTAAAAACTTTTGTTCGTGTTTGATATTGATTTCTAAAATAATTTAATAATTTAATTTTGGAGCTAGTTTTCCATAACAGACACTGAAAAATAAAAGTACGTATATCTGTTTATTATTAATATTTATAAAATACTTTAGTATTTATAAAATAGTTTTAATTAGATGATATGATCAAGATATTATTTAAATATATAATTGAATATTTATAATTTTGATTACAATTTGTGTATATTCTCTCTAAAATTTATAATTGATCAAATATATCATAAAATATGATGGATAGAATATTAAAATATATTATATTATTAGAAAATATTCTAAATGAATTTTCAAATGGTACAACATTACGGACAATTATTTTAATTCTTAAACGTTTGTGATATTCTTTCGACAAACACATTGACACAAATGAAAGATCAAATCAAATATTTTATATAAATTCGAAAATATTTAATCTTTATGTTATTACGTATATTATTAATTGATAAATTATTATACAAGAGGGATAAGATTTTCGAATTTCATTCATTGTTCACCGTCTTTCGTTGCATTTGAAGAAACCATTATGGCTTAACGAATGCGAGACACGAACCCTTATTAGACACATGATGGCACCTATCACACGAGTCAGAATTTGTATTAATACGGCCAAGTGAGTTCGGTTAAAAGCAATCGGAAACAAGGGTACTGTTATACAACAGGCATTCTTGGGTTCAAATTGATCGCGTACGCATATCGAAGGATGTCGAGAGTTTCTGACCAACGCCCACAGATTTTGCATTCCAGGTTAACTCAATTGACATACGCATGCGATCGAATTATGTTCTCTCTGTATAGAGGCTTGCTCCGAATAATTCTGCCCTCTACATTTTGACATTCACGTTTTATCGATAAATTATCGGATCGTACCAAGTTTAAAAATCCGAGATTTCGCTGAATGCGTATGACATTGTAAACATACATAAATTATGGAAAGTTAGAGCACTTGGTATAATTTTCAACAGCTGAAACAAACATTTTATTTAAATTCTATTCCTTTTCTTTTTACTACTTGTATTCATAAAAATTCATAAAGTTCATACGGATCAGTTACATTTTTATGAACATAATTAAAAAATTGAAATTTTTTCGCATCTGAATATTATATTATCGTGAGTGTTCTATTTTTTGAAACGCATAAATATCTACGTAATCATAAGCAGGTATATTAACAAATATAAATTATAAGAAAATTATACTTGTTCTATATATTTTATCAGTAACACACTGGAATTGTCAAAATGGTCAAAATGATTAATTCGCAATTTTCCATGGAGATTTTCTATTTTTACAATTATGCACTTCAACAGAACGATCTATTATATATGAACGATAACACTGTATATAAATAAAAATTTACGTTCTTTGTTATGCTACTTATTTCTATTTTTCGAGATCTAGTATTAAATAAATAGAATTATATTGAAAGTATTTAAATAATACATAAAATATTTCAACTGTCTGCTAGAAATATGTTATTAGAAATTACAAAAATTCCATCAATGGAAAACAGAATATGTAAACTGAAAATTTAAATTAAATTTAATAAGTTTGTATTGATATAATATAGTTACCTACTGATATTATTAAATATTTAAAATTTTTAAATATTCAAAAAATACAATATTCAATCTTCAAACCAATTAAAAATTAATTTCGATGTAGAATATATATTGTATTTTAACCTCCTTGTTTCATTGGCTTAATTTTTTTAAAAAAATTTTAATCCGACAAAATTTGAATTCGAACTTTCAATTTCAATTCTTCAAATTGAAGATTAATAAATAGAAATTATACATACGCATAAAATAATATATTAATACAATATTAATATATTCCGTTAAATACAAATTATGATATAATTCACAATAAAAATTACAATAAAAAATAAATACAAATTATTCATAAATAAATCTGATAAAATGTAAACGAATTAAAAAGATATAAAAAAAAAATAATTTATCAGATTTTCCACTTATATCCTTTATTTGTAAAAGAAAAAAATAACAAATGAATACGATAAGATATAACACGGAAAAGTCGATAATCAATTTCTGCAATCATGTTGTATTATTTTTCAGTTGAGCATTTACATTATCGATGCTGCCCTTTTCCAATTAAAAACACGACGTGTCTACCGTTTCCATTAATATATTACTTTACTTTTTATTAATTGCCAGCGTTGAGCATTTTCCACTTTCCAATATTAAAAATCAAAATAATTCGTCGTAATTAAATTAAACAATACGTATATTTAATCTGTCAACGAGAACGATAAAACCGTTTCGTAAAACCATTCTCCGAAATGTCATTCTCGTAAATATTCTCCCATCCCC